TCAATTGTTAATGCCAAGTTACTCGATTTTTCAGTATTTTTCTTGTTACTTTAAGTGCGTATTGTTACATTATAGCGCCACTCGCATAATTTAGAGAAAGTTTGAGGCATCAGTGAACAACATATAAATACAGGCAACCAAGCAAGTGCAAGCCAAGTGCAGTTCAGTCAGAAAATTAGTTAGCAACAGAAAACATGAAGTTAGCTGGCGTGCGAGTGATTAGCCATAACAGGCAATATTTTAAAGTGAGTTTCGCAGTTCAATAGAGATAAGAAACATATTTGTCTTGTCAAAGGGTGTTCTAAAGTAACTGAGCCCATCTGTGTGGATTTCGACGAAAATGAGACAAGTATTTAATGTTCGAGGTTCGAGATACAACTGTGGTAACCCATGGGGTAATGTAAGTGAATTATTCACTGATAAGAATAGAGAAAAATAATTTGTCTTATCAATTGGATTCTAAAGTAATTGAATCAGCCTGAGTGGACTTTTGACAAGAAAAGAGAATTATTTAGAGTTTTAGATAAAAACTGTGATTTCATATAGTGTAAAGAATTTTTGTAAACATATTTGACTTGTTTTGAATATATTATTTTCAAATAGGTGGATTGTGTGCTGTCCGTTTATTCTTAGAATTTATCGCCAACAAATCACAGACAATTACTGTAGAAGAATCCTCAGCTCAATCATATTTAAAACCCTGACAAACACAATATTATGTTAAAGAGCAATTAATATTTGAAGACAACTGCTTAACCATCTCACCTGGGGCATCTGTTTCTGCACATGTCACAAGGTTTTAATGAGTTACATTCAAAATTTAATTAAGCTACTTTTTTTTTCATGGTATATTAATAAATACAGCATGAAAATGTAGCTAATAATCTCTATTTTAATAGTATACAAGTTTTAAGAATTTTCTAGTGTAAGATTTGTGACATTTGTCATCTAGGCATCCCCGTCTTCTATAATTTATTTACCACTCCTCCAAGAGGTACAAAATATAAACATAAATTACTTATTATTATTGCTAAAGCAGTGCATAATTTTTATAGCCTTCAATCTTATTTGGACAACCAGACCCCTCTTGCCACACCCACCTGCCAGATTATCTCTTTCAGGAAACTGCCAATAGTTCTCTCTGCCATTCAATACTATATTACTTATAACTAATAGATTTTCATCTATCAAATGATATTTTACATTCTTCTTTTATATTACGTTGTTTTCTGTAAATAGAACTGTCAATTTCACTTTCAGTTCAAACATGATTTCCATGGGAAACACATCAATGAGCTTAGGTGAAGTTTTAACGGCTCTTGTCGCACAGTTAGAAAGCCAGAAACATTGTGATAGTTATGTGACATTCTCTGATTTTTACATTATTATTCTGTGTTCTTTAGTGGATTATTGAATTAAATAAGAAATTTAGTGTATAAAAAAGTAGGGTTAGTTGTCATTGACAGTCGATAGCAAAAAAAAGAAAAAAAAGATGACCCAGGTAAGCACTTTTTTTGTTTTTCATGTGTATTCTTTATTTATATTTATATTCTTTATATAAAAAGTAGGAAACTTATGTTAATCAAGGTTAAATTAGTGAAATAAATAATAATATAATAAAATGATGTATGCCCACAAGTAGCTCATGTGTAAAGTAATTCAATAGCGTATCGGGAGCTGCACATTTACCAAGTGATTTACAACATATAATGGTGTGAATAGTAGTTAGACAAGGTTCAAAAGGCAATAAAAATATAAATTTTTTGTATAAATAGATTTACAGTGTTATGAGTGTAAAGCTATTTAGGATAAGCAAATGTAGTTTCATATTACAATTTGAAGAAAGAAAAAAGGGTAATTTAGATTATTATTTTTTTTTGGTGGCTACAAGGTCAGTAAAATTGACCAACCTTGCTTAAAGTTTGGGAGAAAATAACAGATAAAATATAAATATTACTGGAAAAAAAAAACGTTTGAAATTTATTTCCAAGGTTTAAGAAATTATGCAAATAAAATTTGAGATTTTTGAGATGAAGAAAATGAACAAATTATGGTCTTACTAAATCCATCCATTAAAAATTGTCCTTAACTACCTGGAAATTAATGATATCTACAAAATTAATATATTCTGTTTATGTACCAACAATTTACCAAACTACCATTTCTTTGGTTCATTAGAATCTAAACTCCTCTACCTCAAACACTGTAATAAATAAAACTGCATTGTTCAGTGTGCTTCACGGTAATTTCTATTATTTAAGGTCAAATTATCAAGAGTAAAGATAATGCAATTTGTGGTGTGAAAGAACATGGAACTTACCGGAAATGCATTGTTAAATACAATATTTTCTGCTCTTAAGCTTCCTCTCGCTGTCCTTAAAGTAAACTGAACTTTTACAACCTGCAAAAATAAACTATATGTTTATTTAATAACAACACTGGAAAAAGAAAACATACGTCAAACACACCTTGTAGTGTAGAAAACAAACAGTTACAGTTTATATACTTAGAAAAGAAATCTCCAAATCAGATAATTAATTTTTTTCATTCCCTAGAAACATACCGATGTTGGGTCACATGACATTTTCATCATTTAAAGTGTTTCCAAATAAAACATATAAAAAACTGATAGCTTCTTATATGACCCTAATATTTTCAGGTTGAGTTTATGAACTTATAACAAAAAGTAAAGGTACAGAAAAAAACATATATAAAATATAGTTGTTGATAATTAATACGGATTACTTTCTTAATATCTATTATTAAGGAAGTATTTTGTTAACTTCCTCTTCTACATTGCTTTAACCCTCTGGATATACGTAAGACCCCATATATTCGCAGACAAATCTTTAGTAAAAAATATTTTATCAAAATATGTGACTATTTGTGCACAAAATACTTGTGATTTTTACTAAAAGCTTGCCAAATTTCATGAAGAAATTCTTACTATATTAAAAGTTATAGTATATATAGTTTCATGGTTACATGATGGTTAAAATGTTAGTGAAAATGACTGAGACTGTATACAAATAATTAACAGAAAGTAAAGATATAGAAAAACATACATCAAATATAGTCACTGGTATCAAATATATTTTTTTAATATCTATTATTAACCCATTAACTGCAGCAGGAGCAGCTCAGTTGCCGTCTTCCGACTCACAGATAAAACTGAGTTGCCATCAATCACAATAAAATGGTAATTTTCGTCATTTGCATAGAGTTAAAGTTATATATGTGCGACTGACAGATATTTCCGTCATTCGCAGCCGAGCCATAGAACTTCAATGACGAAAATATCCGTCATCCGCAGTTAATGGGTTAAGGGAGTATTTTGCTAACTTCCTCTTCTACACGGCTTTTAAACCCTGTTACACAACTCTAAAACTATCATTGTTTTAATGATGAGAATAAAAGATTAAGTGATAATGAAATGTAGATTCTACCTCATACTGGGTTTCAACAAATGCTTCTCCGACAAAGACCCCCTCTTCACTTGGAGCAGTGACTCCAACACGAAATATGGCATAATGATGGGGTCTGAGTATTAGCTGCAAGAAGGTGTTGATATTATATAGTTAAAAAAACAGTATTTGCTTTGCTATAAATTAAGTTTCTCTATCCTATTAGTTACCATACAGAGTCATATTTACACATATAGTTTACTATAAAGTGATTATTAGCCAGCAAGCAATAAGAATTAAAAAAGAACACAATAAAATTTGTTGTGATCAGCTTGCTCCTTCATGTTCATTGGACATTACAACCTATGAATTTCTTTATGGAGCTACGTAAAAGACATGGTTTACACTAGTAAAATTGCAAGTAAGGATAAATCGTATCAATGTTTCCCAGAAGCCTATCACAAAGGCTACTCCTCAATATTGCAAAACACCGAAGATGAGATACAGACTGTTAATTTTATTTGTAACTTGTGTGAAGTATGGTGATTGTACTCCCTAAAAAAACTATTATTTCACATGCAACAAGCCATGTGTGTCTGTATTAAATGGTTTTCCAGGTATGATTTTTCAAAAGTGTGTCCAATATTCCTGTAAATCCCATATACAAATATTTGACTAGGCCTTCCTGCGTTTTGACATTTATGGTTGCCTCTGGATACTTGTGTTTAGTGAAAAGCATTAGTTGATGTTTACTATTTTGTCATGTTATGTCAAATTTTAAAAAAATTGCATTTTTGCAGGAATTAAGAGTGCTACTTATATGTGACCCACAAAATATCTGGTAAGCATTGCTGACTGTCAAAGAGCTAAGATATACATCCCCTGAAATCTGTTTCAGTCATCTTTTATTGCCTCCTTGAACAATCAGTCAAATGGTGAATGTTTCATTAAGTGTGTTGCAGATGCTAAGGCTCTGGTATAGCATGTTAGGTTGTCATGTTTCCATTTGTGGCAAAACAAAATTCTGCATGTCAAGGTATATATTCCTTGTAACAGTTGTCTCTACAAACAAACAAAAATGGACCGATCACACTGTTATCGGTAATTACTACCCATATGTTTCATTTTTAGACTCTCTCTCACATGTTCACACGTTATTTGGAGGTCTTAGAACCCCATTAGTGACATATATGGTAGTTAAGTTTTTTGTTAGCATAAAAAGTTGTTTCATTTGAGAAAAGAATCTTTCAACCTGTTGAGCATTTCCACTGAGTAGTCTTAATATTTCGACTTGGTAAGGATTCAGTTTCATTTGACAATGGAATACATGATGCACAGTTGAATTGAGGGGGGGGGGGTCACCAGTTCCATAGATACTTATCACAGAGACTTAGAAGGGCTTTTTGGAAACACCTTCTGCACACAGTCAACAGTTGCTTCTTTTAGTCTACCAGCACACTGCTGTGTAAGATGCTTCCTGTCATTTTAAACTGATGAAACCATTTGTAAATTAAATGTAGGTGAATCCCACTAATAACATAGTAAATAATTCCTCTGCTACGTGTAGGGGATTCAAACTTGAAAAAGCCACAGCACACATTTCACTTTCTCCCCTGTAGTCACCAATTTGTTTCAGACTGAAAACTTACACTTCTAGGACACCTAACACCATCTATCAATGCTCTAGAAATATTGTAAACATTATTCCTGCACATGCAACAAAGTGTGCATCTCCACGTTAAACAATTTAGCTTGTATGATTTTTTCAAAAGTGTTTCCAAAATTCTTGGACATCCTGTAGTTGTTTTAGCAGTTTGTTATTTCAACCAATCAGCTTACATATCCTGAAAGAGTTACACATGATCCAAATCATGACAACTATAAAAAACAATATCAAAAAGACACAACTGCTTTAGTGGAATTTGGGATATTAGATGATCAAAAATGAAGAATGTTTGTTTAAATACAGCATACATCTCTTAAAAAGCATTCCTTTTAGATAAATCAAACCTGACCTTTCTAGATTACGATATCATTACAGATAAATAACCTATATAATTGATACTTGAAACCATCGGTGAAACTCTATAATTAGAGAATTGAGGAAAGAAAACAAATTGTCTTTGTTCTTTTCCTCAATTCTATAATTAACATAATTTAACATAAACAAAAGTGGAATTTTACATTTCAAAAAAACTGTTCCTATAGCAAAATATTCTACTTACACTTTTTGTCATATCAGAAAAATTGTACCTCCTAGCTAAAGTACTTGCATTTCCTTTCTCTAGTCCCACAAGTTCTAAATAAGTTTTGGTCATATTAGAACCCCAATGCTTCAGATTTACCTAGGAAAAAAATAAAGTATAAACTACATGTATAATGGATTTATAACTTATTTTTTCAAACAAAAAATTCTGTTATAAATTGTTCTGATAAGAATATTATCTAAGATTAAGTTCTTAAATTTTGAAACCCAATCTAGAATAAGAGCTCCAATATTTAGTTTTGTTTTTTAACCAACAAGGAAGTGATAAATTAACTATTTTAACCTTTCTATTACCTCAATCAAACTGCTTTTTATAAACAAATATGATTGGAGAATTTTTAAACGAAGTAAGTAACAATAGTGAACTTTTTATGATTTTGCTTTATTTTTACCCATGAACTATAACTTTACCAATTTTGATTGGAAATTCCTTTAATCCTTTCTTGACCATAGAGGTGTTGCTGATATTCCGATTTTTTCCCCAAAAAGACAGTACTTAAAATGAGTTGCAAGAAACTTAATACAAATTTTCTAAATAGTGTTTAGTGTTTGATTACAAAAATTCATATAACATGATGTAGTATTTCTATAATTTTTGATTGTGAAAAGTCCAAAATTTTGTTGTGAGACATTGAAAAACATTAAAATACTTTCTTTCATCTTAGAATTGAATTTTTTTAATATTGAAATGAAAGTTCCATCATATATATCAAATCGGTTTAAACTTGCATTTTTTTTTATAAAATAATTTTATAAATAATTATATTTTGTTACTTAAACTCTCAAATGTTATATGCAGGTATGCATTTCACACCTGAAAGATCACTCTTGTAATAATAGGGTTAAAAGGAATCAACTGGATAGCACAAGTATATGTATTGTATGTACAAACATACCAGCAACAATCATCCCTTTGTCCTTATATCCATTGCTTTAAAACTAGTGAATCTGGACACACACACATATACTCATGCAGAGGGAGCACCTAGATGCACAAATGGTTTACTTAGACAGAAGGGTGTGACCAAATTCCTCTTGGGATATACCATAAAAAGAATCATTCATAAACAGTTTTGTGAAATCTGTTGATTTTGGAAGACGTACATACACAAAACAGTAACATGACTATTAAACATTAGCTAAGTAGAAAGCACGAGAACAGCTTGGTTAAATCTGAGTGTTTGGGGGGGATTGTCTCGAAGGTCAAACTCCTAGAGAAAATAGTGATTGGTCAATACAGGGTAGGATTACCCAACATGGAGGTAAACACTCACGTTAGGGCTGTCAGATAAATACCTCACATGCAATAACACTGCAGATTATTTACACCATTCGTTCTGTGGAAAGTAAATTTCTATTTCTAAATGTAATTCTAGAGTACCAGTTTTCAGTCCTGTTGAGAATCTGTACCATTTGTAATTTTAATTTTAAGAAGACCACAAAATACTTTCTTTCTTTTTTTACCTAAACTGTAAATATTTGTTGTTGATAAGCTAGAAAATCCCCAAAATACTGACACAACTATTAATCATTAAGTCACTACAACTCAACCCAATACTCTTTTCAGGTACTGATAAAGAAATATCAAAGCACCTAGAAACCTACCTTGGAAACATTAAACTGGAGTTGTATTTGGGAAAACGACAAATGACAGTGCAGATAGGAATGAAAAAAAAGGTTTTCCTACAAAAATAGTGTATGAATGGCATCCATCCTCAAGTTTAATAGTTTGTCTCTCTCTCTCTTGTAAATTTAAACATCTCTGCATCATAACTAACTTTGCTACAGTTTGGTAACATTTACTGAAAACTGCACAGTTTAAATTATTTGAGCATTTCGCAGAAGATAATGTAGAGAATTAGCAATTCCCAACAAAGTAGATGATACAATTCAAATAATATAAATATAAAACTAACAGGCAAAATATTTTGCTTGACAACGAATAAAAGCCTTTTAAACTATAACATATTATCAACATCTACAACAGATACTAATGCCTTAAAGCAATGAGTTTTTACAATGGAGAAAACTAGAACTTTCAACCACAAGAGTGCAGATCAGTGAAATATAAGTATAAATTCTATGTTGTATGAGTAGAAAACTAATAGCTGATTAACTTTAAACTTCTTTTAAATATGAATAGAGCAAGGAAACTACAGACTTATATATTAGAACAATAATTACTGTCATTTTTGATGATATACTATAACTAACCTTTTAACTAGATAAGTATGTAAACAAAAAGTTTGTTTGTTTGTTTTGAACTTCGTGCAAGGCTAAACGAGGGCTATCTGTGCTAGCCATCCCTACTTTAGCAGTGTAAGACTAGAAGGAAGGCAGCTAGTGATCACCACCCACTGCCAACTATTGGGCTACTCTTTTACTAATGAATAGTGGGATTGACCATTACATTATAATGCCCCCACGGCTGAAAGGGCGAGCACGTTTTGTTTGATGGGGATTCGAACCCGCGATCCTCAGATTGCGAATCGAGCACCCTAACCACCTGGCCATGCCAGGCCTAAACAAAAAGTAAACATTCCTTTCACTGTGATACAAGTTACGAAATGCTCTAACCCTTTCAAGCAGTTATTTCAAGTAATGCACTAAACAAAAATTATTTCGCTAGTTTTTTCCAGTACACTGAATAACATTTTATGCCATGCAATCAGGTTTGAGGAATCTTTTTTATAACTAAAGACAAAGACATTTTTTAACGAAACAGTTTGCACAGCTTCTGTAGTAATTAATAAATCCTGACTTTTTTAAAACCTATTTATTTAACATGGAATTTTTTATACACCTATATATTTGTCACATCTCTCTTGGTCAACATCACAGTTGAATGTCATAAGTAACAAAGCCTTTGCTGATGATTCTTCATAATAAAACAAATATCACACTAAATTTTTTAGATTTTCTTTCATTGCCAATGCTTACATCAACTGGGTTTTCATTTATCACAGCAAATATCATCGTCCGCTTTTCTCCCATACTAAGAGTGCCAAAGTCCAAAACACTTTGGTTTAAAGTTTGTGGTAAATACTGGAAAAAACAACAACAAAAAAACAGATTTTATTAATGATACTGCAAACTTCTGAATATAATATAATAATAACAGTCAAATTATGCAATAATTATTCATTACAAAATTATACTAGCTGTATAATCTGATTAATAATAAAAGTTACAATCATCAAATTGTTTGAGTAGTACAGTGTGCAACGCTGTTTAGTACAGAACCCTATTATATACCAAAAAGTAGTAACATCACAACAAGAACTGATATGTTAACCCATTGACTGCTAATTCACCATATAGAGCACAGTCTGCCTCCAGCAGCTGAATGCGAGTGTATCATATACAGTGTACAGGTTTCAAAAATCCTGCACATGTTTAAATCAGCCGCAGCCAATGAGTTAATCTCTAGTTACTGCCTTTAAGGTTGTCAGTGATGTACATGTAGGGTGACTGCTAGCAATAATTCACATAACCTTATGATGATTTGAATACTTCATCACTTTAGTAGGAAATAGATTAAACTCACAACTAAAAAAAAAAGTGATAACATTTTTTTGTCAAAAAATAAATATGAAATGAAAAATTTTAAAAAGTGAATATACTCACAAGCTGAAGTCTTCCACTAAAACATAATAATGGTATATCGAAATGGGAAACATTGGTGTGTAGCCTCAGGAACGTTGTAAGGTGCAAGTTAGGAACAGAGGGACGAAAAACTAACCAAAGTAGGACTACCGCTGCTCGGGGAGTGAGAATCATAGGACGCGAGAAATTTATCTGTCAGAACAGAAATCAATTTTCATTCTATAACAGAGTGGTTAAAAAAAAATCTTTCATAACGTTTTTAAACATTTGATTACCTTCATAAAATCCCAAAGTATTTTCAATAATCACAAATACAGGTTATCTAATTTAATTACATGGAACAATGCTTTAAATATGAATACCAGTAACTTACAAATTGTTTATCAATTTAAATGAAGAATTACTAAATAAGAAATTTTTTCAAATATTTTTATGAAGTTTTTTTAAAGATAATTTTAAATTTTAAACATTAATTATAAAGCATCTAGTCACTATACTACTGTTTTGACTCCTAAAACATTTTTAAAATTGACTGATGATTAGAAAATCTTATTAGGATCAGTAGAGAAAAACTAACTACAAACTGTTTTCATGATCCACTAAAATTCACAAAACCTGTACAACAACAACAAAAATCCTACAATAAAGGTTGAAAATGTATGGACAAAATAAGTTTCTTACTTGTATATTTTTCTTTATAGATGGTTTTTAGACTCAATCACTAAGCTGATTGTGTGGTCATAAACAGTAACATAATATGGTTCATAATTAATTCAAGACAGTAAATTTACTTTTCTTAACTGTAAACGTTTAAAATGTCAGTAAAACTGTTAAAATTACATCAAAATTCTACAAAAAGAATTTTATAACTAAGTTTGAAAAGTCTTAGGTATTAACTTATTTAGTCTGAAGTTTTTGTTTTCCATTCAATGATTTCCAGTTATGTTTTGTAATCACCACGAATGTATAAAATAAATTAATGTATGAACATTTTATTAAAATATTTTGTGATACAAGGCCTACGGGGGGTAAAACCTGACCCACTATAATGGTAGGTCTACAATATTAAACTGATCAGGCTCACATTTTTCTGTAGATTTAATTAATAACTCAACAATTTTTGTAATAAAACCTTTATTTGTGTGTGATATGATAAAAACAAGCATTGCTTACTTTAAAATGAGACTTAGCTTCCACTGGTAAAGAAGCATTGTATACTACTACAGTAACATTGAAATTATTTGTTATATTCAGAGGTCGTGTAAACGATCCACTAGCCTTTCTAGCTTGTCCCACAAAAAATCTTGTACTGCTGTGATTATAAGAAAGAGACCTAGAGAAAAAAAGTAAATTCATTAACATTCCTTCAACAGAAGTAGTCACCTGTAAAGCAGAAACTTTCACTTTTACTAGATATTTTTTAAGGTAATTCTGTTCAGTCTATGTGGCAAAGTAACACACACACACACAAATTTAAACAAGTTCAAACTGTTTTAACAAAAATTATAAGTGTATATAAATGCTATTGTGTCTTAAGTTTTTATTTCTAAATGATTATTTTGTTCTCTAGGAATGAAATCATCACCAGACTTAAGGCCAAATTTTTGAAGTGACAGTGAAACCTTTTTTTTAACCCTAAAAATACAAAATTTTCATCTTATAGTTATTGATCAAAATTTTTTTCTCCTACTCTTTAGCAGACAATTTCTTAGCCTAATCAACAAGTTATACTTTTTGCTGCTTACCAAGAAAAAAATACTCATCAACAAAGATATTTACTGATATTAATGCTTTTTTTTATTTTAATTGGCAAATTTGTTTTGCATACAAAATAATTAAACTTGTGGCCAGAAAATTACACTACAAAATTGCTATGAGTATAAATAACATAGCTTTGAAACAGAAACCACATCATTTTACATACCCTCTCAAAAGCATCACTTGATATGGGATGGTCAATTTAAATTGATTATTTTTGGCCTTTATAACAATTTTCCCTGAACACTGCTTTTGGTGGACTGCTTTAGATGCTTCAAGATAAAAACAAAACATCCAATATTAGAAAAAACTACATTTAATGTGACACACATCTAAATGTACAGTTAGTCTTCTCAAGTGTGAGACGGCATTTAAAAAAAACCTAGTTTTTCTCTCTTTAATATGATGTGATTAGAAAAAATATGCCCACATACAAACTTTAACGAGCACTAATGAAAAACAAAAGTATAAAAGATCTCATTACTCAACAAAAAATTATACAAAATTTATTACCACAAAACAATCTATAAATGTATATATTTGATTAAAGACCACTGAATGTTAAAACAGCCTGAAATCAAGGATATAAATGCCAAATACACAGCTTACTTAATTTAACTGACTTTAACAACTGTTTTAATATAAATGTATACATGTCTCTTAATGAGTTAATCAAAGTCAATTACTTGATAAAAGAATTCAAACTGAATTCCCACGAAGTTGTGTTTTTTGTATTAAACAATGCAGAAGTGAAACATATTTTACTTTTCCTAATGAATCCTAATAATGAGATAAATGTAGACTCTTCATTTTATAGAACATGTTCAAAGTTCTAACATAAATCTCAAAAAGAAAAACATATCCCAGAAATAACTTTATGTATGTACTACAGTGAATAGAAATTCAGGTTTGTAAAATAACCTTAATGTTGTTTCATGTACCATTTCATTATTAAATTCAATTTATTCAATTTGTATAATTGTATAATTGATTTACGCCTGTAAAAGTTTCAGGATAATAAAAATAAAAGATGGAGTACAAAATGTCCCCCAAATGGTTATATCCTCTGCTTGATATCTTCATAATATGGGGACTAAGTAACAAATGGATCCTGAGAATATCGTAGATGCAGTACTTAGTTTACACTCACATTTTCATATAAATATGACATTTCTACTGTAAAATAAGAAATTTGGTATGATCAGAGTGAAACTTAAAAACAAGAAGTTTAACACTTTAAAACTGAATAAAAGTCAACTTACGTATAAATGTCACTGATGCAACTTTTGTACTTTTCACAGTATCGGGTGGAACTTTGATGGGAGAAAATTTTATTTCTATTGCCTCATTTACTGGAGTTGCAATCACATTCTGGACAAAGCACATAATAAGTCTCAATTAAAGACAAAAGCAAGCAATGTCACACTGAATTCCAGTAAAAAATGAAAATAACAAAGGCCAAAATAAGTCTCACTTAAAAAATAATAGTAACAAAAATACAACAAATCCCAGATCAATTTGAGCTGAAATTTGTATTTTACATAAAACATTAAAAAAATTATTATGTATTCAACTGAAGTAACTTATTCTGGTGTAATAATGTTGATTTAGAGAAGCTCACATACATTTGCATATGATTAAGATAAAAAAAAGTCAATGAATTTTCTACAAACCTTCCTATCACAAAAATGTTATGGTAAAAAAATATGTAAATTGTTTACGTAAATAATTATTCATAAACTATAAAACAATATATTTTTTACATAATGATAATAATATACTTTTGTATACAAGTACAAAGCACTATAGAATTACCCAAAGGGATATATATATTATGTTACAGTTCAGTGATAGAAATACAAAAAAACATTGAATGCTGCATTTTAAATGTACAATTAATTGTAGAAATATTAATGTTTTTGTTTGAACAATAAACACACATTTTAAAAATATATTTATATACTGTATTTGTAAACACGTGTCCCTAAACATCAAAACAAAACATGCTGTGGTGCAAAACACTTGATTATTGGAAGTGAATTAAAGAAAACATTTTGATTTCAAAATCAAGTCAAGAGTTTTAAAAGTTAACAGTTTCCTAAACTGAAAACGTATTTCGGATAGATACTTACCTCTCTCACAAAATAGTTTTTCTTGATTAGTACTGCCCTCTGTCGGTACAAATTTCCAACGCTCGCCACTAGCCTTCCACATTCGACTTCTGCATATTCACATATAAATGATTATGCAGCAGCTATCCACCAATAGGAGCACGACACAACCCCAATCATAACAAGCACCCTCTTCACACTTGCACTTGTTAATTACCTTGAGATTGGTCAGAATACCTACACCACATATCACCTGAAGTGGGGAGACTGGGAGGGAAATGTGAGGGGAGGTAAGTATCTATCGAAAATACATTTTCAGTTTACGAAAATATTAACTTCCAATATGATATCTTACCTCCCCTCACAAAATAGCTAGAATCCCACACTGAACTAGTAGAGGGACAGTGAAAAAAGTATCCCCCCCCCCTTTAAGAGACCATGAGGTGTAGAACCAAAAATAAAAATATCACTGCACCACATCTGATCCAGGTATACTCTGCTCTTTTATGATTGTGTTGCAAACATAAAAGGCAGAAATACCTGAAGGAATCCCATAATACGTATTACCAATCAATGGGACCCATGGGTGTTGAGTGGCTATGGCACAACAGACCATAGTAGTAGTTTAATCTCATCCAACACATGGCCATATCTGGAATTTTACAACAGGTCTGCAGTAGACAGAGGATCACCTACCTCTTCACCTCAAAAAGGAAATTGGTAGGGAAGACAAACTTCCATACCAAAATCTGTCACCACTTGCATGCCTTTCCAACCCAACAAACACTTGAACCACCAGGAACTAACATCCAGCGGATGGTAAGGAGGAGGAAAGCCCCAGTGGGATAACATCTCCAGTCCAAAACCTGGCAGGATTGGGTGTGGTTCTTCCAGTCTGCAGTAGGAGGAGGATTCCTAGCTTTACACAAGTGGGAATACATGTGCTGCATCTAGCTATAACAATCACCATATTCGTCAGGAACCGACATCCAGTGGACAATAGGAAAAGGGACTACAAACCTGGGGTGCATATCCTATCCAAAACCTGGCAGCATTTGGCATTTTTCATCCAGTCTGTGGTAGGAGGAAGGATATTGGTCAGAACAAATGTGAGGATTTACTTAGCTGGACCATCCCCAACCCACACCTGACCTCCTGAGAACGACATCCAGAGGATGGTAGGTAAGAGGAATGTCTCAGCTTGAGAAGAAACTGCAACAGATAGATATATATAAGTAAACAGATGTGACATGGTGGAGCGCTTCAACCAAAACCTGGCGGTATCTGAAATTGTACATCAGGTCGCAGTAGGAAAGATGTCATACCATCAAAACATTGCGGGCTATCTCCAACCAACACCAGACCCACCAGGAATGTACATCTGGAGGATGGTAGGAAGGAGGAATGCCATGGTGGGAAAAGCAATCTGTCAGATATAGATATATATATACATATTGGTGCTACAACCAAAACCTGGCGACATCTGGAATTTTACATCAGATCTGCAGTAGAATTGCTATACACCCCAAACACATTGGTGAGTCTGGAGGACTGCACCACTGGCGACAGTGCAATGGGTGACCGTGATACCAACCAAGCACCTGGAATTGTACGTCAGGTCTGCAGTAGGAAGAGTCTCAAAGCCACGGAGCATCAGAGATGGGTAGCAATCCCTATCTGCTTTACTCATGTATGTCCATGAGTGTACGATTTGAGATAAACATATTTATGAAGCAAAAGAGCAGTAGAAAGAACTACTAACAGTCCTATAGAACACCCTTTTCGGCATAGATAACAACTGAATGGGGACACACACAAGCAACACCTGGCAGCATTTGGAATTGAACATCAGGTCTGTGGTAGGAAAAGATACAATATCGAGCATAGTCACAGGATGGACAGTGCAGATTTAAAAAAAAAGTGTACCTGGTCAGGTACCACCCGCCACAGAGTGGGATCCACAATACACTAGAAAAAAGGCCCCTGTAAATATATAAACAACAAAAACATAATACAGAAAGACTAAGTCTGTAGTATAAAGGAAAATGTCGACAAATTTGTGAGCAAAAACAAACACGTCTGTACAGTACTACTGCCAATCAAGAAGTGGTTAACGAGTGCAAATGTGAAGAGGATGCTGGTTATGATAGGTGTTGTGTAATGCTCCTATTGGTGGAGAGCTGCTACATGATTATTTACATGGGGATATGCAGAAGTGGGAGGTGGGAGGCTAGTGGTAAGCATTGAAAAGTACTAATTGAGAAAAGCTATTTTGTGAAAGGAATTAAGATATCTTCTCGGAACATAAAGTTCTTACTTTAACTTACCATTATATGAATATGTTTTTGTCCAGAATTAAGTAGATTGATTGAAAGCATCTTTGGTTCATCCTGACTTCTCATAACCCCAAAATCCATACTTTCTGCTGGTGTGTAAATCCCTGGAGCTAATGTAACAAAATACTCTTAGCATTATAATCCTTTCAAACACTGCAAATGTAAAAAAATAAATTTCAAAAACTAACTTTTTTAAACTTGAAATTTACCTTTCAACCAAACAAAATGTCAACTTTTTCTCTGCACTTTAGCATCTCTATTACTGTTTTCTCTTATTCTAAGCAATAATTTTTAAGTTGTGCTGAAACTGTACCTTTTTTTTAAGGACACAGCTGTTTCTTCAAGACCAAGACTCTAAAAACTAAATTTTACATAAATACACGAAATGAGTGGTCACTAAATAAAGATTTGCAAGTCAAAGCTAACACAAACTTCCAAATGTAATATTTTAGGATAATTACTCGCTAAACCTTTAACATGCATATATTTCATAGAATAATACATACAAGACAAATCTATTAATTTAAACTAACCTAAAACATATTTTTGAAATATTATTACACAAAAGTACATATCCAATAGCAATTTTTAAATACATGTATAAAAGAAAGCTTTCAGCACAGAAGTATATAAAATATTGATAATTTTTCACAGAATATTATGTATAGTATATTGGTTATCATTAAAACAACACTGAATAAAACTGCAACAATTCTTCACTCTTTTATTTTAAATGTATTTTTTATGGCTTAATATCAGTATATATAAACACTATATTTAATAATTTCTCTCATTTTCAGTGTTTCATTACAGTTTAACCAAAATCTTTAAACTTAAGCGCACAGTCTGAGTAATGGGCGTGTCAAAGGGTCATCTTATAATGCCCTTTTTCCCAAAAAATAGACTACAATTACTAGTGGAATAAGAGAAAAACTTTGGATTGGATTTACTAAAGTAAAAGAAAGATTAAGAAATATCAAAGTGAATTCTCAGCATTATAAAGAAGAGGTTTTAGGATTCATTTTCTACATGAAGAAAAATCAACATGGAAACCCAAATGTTGACTCAAAACCATATATATGTGTGTGTGTATATATATATATGTCTGATCAGTTTCTGGACATGGATGTGTTTCTTAAGTTGTGTAATATGTAATAGCATTTTGAGTAAATAAAAAAGTAAGTACTAATAGAGCATGTAAAAACTCTGCATATATCTAAAGTGTTGCAAGTGTTAGAAGGTTTACTTTTTGCATATATATACATACACGTATTTTAACATAGGAAGTACTTTGCTAACCTGAGCTAACTTCAACTTCCATAGGTATAACTAAATATTCCTGTTTGCTACTATTAGTTTTTATCCTGATATACGCTGTATGGTTTCTTTCTATTCTGGCTACAAAATTCGCTCTCATCACTGGTTTAGTTTCATATGGAGGAATTTCCTATTTAATAATAATAAAAATTATTTTTGAAAAGTAGGCATAATAAATATCATGTAATAATCTAGAAGATAAATACAAAAATTTTCATTAAGCTAATGAAGAAATTTCCTTGGTTTATTGTTTCTTCAAACACTTTAGAACAAATAACTTTCAACTTCTGATAAAATATATATATAGCTATGCTTCAACAAAAACGTAATGTTTACACTTCTTAGTCAGAATTAATCAATATGCAAAATGTGATCACACAGATCATGAAAACTGTTAAAAAATCACCGTTAGCTTCAAAATAGAATACTACCACTTGCATGGGATTTTTTTAGATATGAGCCAAAAGAATGGTATTAAGGCTAATCACACCTTAATATGTTTACAACTAGGATAAAATGTTACCATGATACTTCAGTCAAGAAATATGCTACAGTTCACATTTGACACACCAAAAATATCCTACTTTCTAAAACATTTATAAGAATATATAAACAGCATTGCATGTCATTAATGCTTCTAAACATGTGAAAAGGAACAGTTACAATGGTATATTAAACTATCTAGAATCTGAAATTTAAAAATGGAGGTATTGCCTGTCAGACCAAAAAAACGTTTACTGAAGTATTTTAAATGCTTATAATTTTAGTTTATACATATTTTGTTAGATAAAGCCGTTACTATGGAACATAAAGTTATATAGTTGAATATAAGAACACAAATAACACAGATAATTTACCAAAAAAATATATTAATAAGAAAAAAAGTTAGCCATGAATGGTGTATACTACACCAGAGGATCATGGTTGAGAAAAAATATAACTACAAAGATATATTTATTGAATGTCTTGTAACTACTTGACACTAACATAAAGTTATTTTTTACTTCTACAAGAGATTACATTATTAATGTCCAAAATAAACTTCCTCAAACTGCCATTTTAATTCTAATTATAACTTCAAATAATAAACAGAAAGCTAAGTTTTTCTAAACAATTCACATAATGGGGAAATACAGAATTATTATGAAAATCAATTCTGGCAGGAAATAGAAAGCATTTAATTGTTTTTCTCAACTTTGATTTTAGCTGATCCATTTCATAGCAATTAATAGTTGATACAGAGAACTTTAATAAATAACAGATGATGATGACCTCTATATCTTTGTCACTTAATTGAAGATATGGGAAAAGTTTAGATAGACAAATTTTCCATTGTTTTTTTGTTGACCATTACAATTACCATAAGATGTGTACTATATTATCATGTTAGCATAAAATGTGAGGAAAGTGTGTTTACCCAAAGATATTTTGGAGCTTCTGGTTCTTCTGCTGGAAGTTCTAAATGAAGGTCACCTCCACTAGTGTACATTTCTGTCAACTATGGACAAAAGAAAAAAATAATATACTAACATAAACAGTCTTTCAAGTGCATTTCTCAAGCCTTTTCTTTTTGATAGATAGAACTTTTCTTCAACAAAGAGGTCATAACATTTACCATAAAATGCTGAAAAAGTGCTCTTTTTGTCTACAAGATTATAATTTTGACAGATCAAACTAAAGCACTACTGACAAAATTAGCACTTAGGAAGTCTAGTTTTCCTTCTCTCAATTGGCTTATCCACAAATCCTACTTTCTAGTCTGCTTGTTAGATATTTAATTATATTTGACATGCACAAACTTGAACATATACATGCCTTATTTTTAAGGTTGTAAATAGAAATATTAAGACGATTTTTCTTTCAAAGTATTTTAATATCAAATTAATTTTACCTTTTCAACTTTAGTATTTTTTTTTCTATACAAATCCTACAAGATATAGTCATATGATGTTTTGAAACAGCTTTTGTGTTTCATATCTAACAGCAAGACATGATCACGTACAACATTTAAGGTACAAGTACATTCAAATGTTGAATGTCATCATATCTCTAGCAGTTGTGCAGAAATAAACCTATTATCCCACAAATAGCTGTTTCCAAACTTCACATTGCTCATAAGTTAAGTGGGTACCTCTTTGAAAGCAAAATGACAGAAGCATATTCAAGCACCAAAATATTTGATAAAATTACATGTGTGTGGTCTGTTTCTGGATAACTGAGAAGTTTTGCATTTAACTGAAAATTCTATTTATTACTTTACCAGATCTGCACTCACAAAATAGCAAACACTAAATGACAATCTTTAGTGAACTGTTAGTTTTTATCAAATAAAGCAAATTGGTGATAATGATAAAAATGACTACAAGATTCTAATGAAAAAAAAAACTGGGTTTAATTGTTTTTTAAGACTCATAATTAGGTCAATTAAACTGAACTGAATTACCTCAGATAATTCACCACTTTAACAACTTGTTTTTATAGTAGATTTCAAGATTTCACACAGGAAGAATATTCAGCATGTGTTATAATTTTAGAAGCCTGAAACATAATTACTACTATTAAAAGGCAACAATCACATACCATGCAGATAATGATATAAGAAATTTATATTTTTGATGCACCCTAATGCACATAGAAATTTTATACATATTTACCCCAAAAACTCTCTCAGTTTGAGAAACATTATACTCATAGGTGTCATAATGTATATTATTACAAGTATAGAAACAAATACTTTATCCCTAATATTAAAATAATATTAATTAGAAAGAATTTAGAGTTGAAAACATTTTTATCTTTGTTCTTAACATCATATATTTTTCTTAAAATGTATAAAATAAACTAGTAAACTATCACAAATGCACTTCTGGTCAGATACTTCAAAATAAGAATTGTAAACAATACAAGTGTACTAAATTTATATCACAGTAGTTTGACTATTCATAATCATTTCTAAAAGTCTAACTGACTAAAAAATAACAATATTTAAATCGAGTAATTAAAATGAAAAATTTAAATAAAATTTATTAAAATTGTTCTGACCTAAATTTGGGAGTTAGACATGCAGAATTTAGTTGTTATTTTGATCAATATAATATATAGCAAATAATATCATAAAAAGCACTAAAATTGCTTTTAAACTAAAATTTAATATTAGAGCTTTCAAATAACAGAAGTTTTCTGCTCATCAGTTGTATAGAAATCTTCATTTGAAAACAAGTTCTCTTTCCCGTTTTTGTGTAAAGATTTTGGTGAAAGTTCATAGCCTTTTGCGAAGAAATTTACATAAAGGAGACCTGTTTTCAGTGCTAAACTAGTCAATATAAATTGGAGGAATGTCTGAAAGTCATGTTTACCCTAGTTTTGGGTGGCAAAGTTGGAAGGGGTGATGTTTGCATGAAATGCAAATGTGGATGCAGTCATGGTGGGAGTTCTTGTTGAAGTTAAACTTATCAGATAGAGAAATCATCCAAAAAATGTTAGAATTCAACCAAAAAAGGACAAGAAAACTACAAAATAGAAGAAATAGAAATAAAAAGATACTTATTTCTTCTTATTGTAATCACTTTCATTGTCTTACAATGGACGATCAACTTAGACATGACTGATCAGATATCAACAAATAATCACTTTCATTGTCTTACAATGATCGATCAACTTAGACATGACTGATCAGATATCAACAAATAATCACTTTCATTGTCTTACAATGATCGATCAACTTAAACATGACTGATCAGATATCAACCAATGCAAGTCATCAGAAATAGCAGAAGAACACTTGCTGTTGTTTTTACTTAACCCTGCGTTAGACTCCATGGTCCACAAATATTTTGTAAACATTAGCACCGACAGATGGAAGCACTTACATGTTTGTTATTCTCAGTAGCTTCATTATTTGGTTAGTTTGTGTTAAATTGTTACAATTAATTTAGGTGGCAAAAAAGAAACAAGTTATAATATAAAGGAAAAGATTTTGAGTGTTAGTGTTTTTGTTTCCAAAATAATAGTTTATTATTATTTAAATATTATTAAATTGATTATTTATTATCCACTCAGACCCCAGAAGAGTAACTATGAAATTTTTTTTTTATAAAAGACTATCGCAGGGTTAATGTGTTTGGTACTCTATATGTCATGAAGATGTTGAAGGCAATTATTACAGTGCAAATCAAAAGTCAAAATGGAAAAGTTTTCAACAAAATTAGCCTTGCTTTGGAAAGACTTTTCATTAATATCAAAACAACATTTTTTGGGTGTTTCCTTGTGTCTTTTTAGCAAGAGATCAAATCCTAAAAAACTTGTGCAGAGTTTTATATGAAAAACTGGTCTAACAGATTATCTCTTCTTTAAAGCTGTCACCAAAACACGACAATTTCTGTACGATTAACTCATACTTTAGGGTTAAATAATAAAAACATGTTTTTCAAATCAACTATTTACTTATTCAGTTCACACACTAAAATGTCAAACTTAAATCTATGGTTGCACAAATTAACCACTGGATTCAACTCGTACATGTAAAATTCATACACTGATACGTCAAACACAGCTATATGGATGCATGACTTATCCGTTAAATTAGTTCATAGATGTAAAGTTCATATATCAACATATCCAAGTCAGCTATATGGTTGCATGACTTATCCGTTAAATTAGTTCATAAATGTAAAGTTCATATATCAACATATCCAAGTCAGCTGTATGGTTGCATTACGTACTCATTATATTGGTTCATACATGTAAAGTTCATATATCAACATATTCAAGTCAGCTGTATGGTTGCACTACTTACTCATTATATTGGTTCATACATGTAAAGTTCATGTACCAATATGTTCAACTCAGCTGTATGGTTGCACTACTTACTCATTATATTGGTTCATAGATGTTAAGTTCATGTAACAATATGTTCAACTCAGCTGTATGGTTGCACTACTTACTCATTATATTGGTTCATACATGTAAAGTTCATGTAACAATATGTTCAACTCAGCTGTATGGTTGCACTACTTACTCATTATATTGGTTCATACATGTAAAGTTCATGTAACAATATGTTCAACTCAGCTGTATGGTTGCACTACTTAC